GCTGAACCGACTGACCTGCTAACACTTAGCAATGACGGGGGGACAGCTCTGAGGCCTCTAGGTGCTCAAACCGGCCCTGTGGGAAGTGGAAGCACACCTCTCCCTAACCAGCCAGTCAGTAGCCAAAGGAAGTTAAATCCCTTTGCTCCTTAGGCTGGGCGGCCGCTGTGGGTTCACCGCAGTTTTCCACTCAGCGGCCATCTCTTCCCTCCTGGCGCCACCAGTGACCCTCCGGGAAGCAAGTCTCCCTGCCTGAGAGGTTTGGGTAGCGCTGGCCCTGCCCCCAGTTCCAGAGGTGGATCTGCAGCAAGCTAGGCTGCATGTTCTCTGGCTTCAGTGGTTCGCTTGGGGAAGGTTCTGCAACCCAGCCAGAGCCAGGGAGGTATGAGGAGACCACTCCTGGGGCTTCAGAGAGAGTGGACAGGTGCCCTCTTCTACTGCATTGGCTCTACAGTGAGGGGCGGCCTACCGCTGAAGCCATCTTGCAGCCAACTCAGAGGAAGAGGGGCTGAGAGCCAGAGAGAGAGAAACCACGTCCTGGTGTCATCACTTGAGTTCCTGTATCAAGCCGTACCTGAAGCCACACCTGCCTTGGACTTCTCAGTTCCAAGAACTGATCAAGTCCCTATTTCCTGACCCATTAGCCAGGGCTACCAGTTCCTGCCTCTTGACTGCTAGGGGAGCTTGGGCAATAGCCATTACTGATGAGGCCTTCCTATGTGCCAGCCACTGTTCTAGGAGCTGCAGGTTCATCATCTCATTTATTTCTCACAACAGCTCTATGAGGATGGTGCTATGACCATCTCCATGTTAAAAGCTGAGAATGACAAGGCTTAGGAGGTTAAGTGCACTGCCAACAGTAAAACACTGCAAGGAAGAGTGTAAAAGGTGTGGTGTTTGTCAGATCTCAGAGACAACCTTTTGGGTCAACTAGATCTTTACATAAACCAAACTAGAGACACACTCTTTGACACAGTGAGAATAGGAGCTTGCAGAGAAACTTGGCAGTGAGGGTTTTAAGCACTGGCCCTGGGGAAGGAGCCCCCAGTTGGTGAGGATGGAAATCTACGTAGAGGAGCTTTTCCTGGCTTGATTCCATTCGCCGCCTTGTAGGAACCAGACCGTCATTGAAACAGACGACATTCAGGCCTTTTCTGAGCACCCACCCCTCTCTCACTTAGACCTTATCATACTGTCTGCCCTGGAGGATGACTACACCACGTGACAGCTGCTCTTCGAGTCACGAGATCCTCCTTTTCAATCTGTTCCCCTTCCTCTGACTTCAGATCTTCTCCTGACTTTAGTCCTCCTTTGAGAACCTGGAGATGACTGTGATTCTTATTTTCCTTGAGGTTATTTGAGATTTTCTAGGAATATTGGAAAATGACTTGGGTCTGTCAATACATGGTGGCAGACAGGCGTGTGGATAAAGTGGGCCCAAGTGTAGGAACTTCAGCGACATTTGTCCTGAAACCTGTTATTCCCATGGTTCCTGTAGCTCTTCTGTCAAATCCTCGGAAGACCTGCGGAAGAGCTGCCCAGTCTGTCTGACTCTGGGAGGGCCATTCTAACGCCCTCCTGGTTCTGTTTCCCTTGGTACCAAGAGTCGATGCCTTTACCTTGTGCATGTGTGTAGGCATCACACGAGTGTGTGTCTGCAGGACCTGTCGGTTGCTTTTTAGTGTTGGAGGTCACGGCTGACTGTGCTGCTATTTGTGGGACAGTGACTGAATTCAGGTAGTGATGCCTTTTCCTTTTTTTTTTTCTTTATCTTTTTGTGGGTCATACATCTAGGTCAGTGATGACCGTACATGTGTCTCAGATTACCGCTCACCACCAGACCTGGACGTTCTTGCGACATCCCAGAAATCAGTGGCCATGTTTCATGGCTCCCTGTTTTTTTCCTTCATGTCCCAGAAGTATTTTTCCTGGTCATCCTGGGAGGAGCAAGGCCTCATCTCCCCCTGCCCTTCAGAGAGGATTGCTTTCTTCATCCCTTCCTATTCCAATCTAACATGTTTCCTCTGAAAGGATTCATAATCCTAGAATGTCTCCTAGACCACAAAACTGTACCTTTTAGAGATTAAGTTA